ATGGTGTCCTAATGGGTGGGGCCATAGGGGGATTTTTGGGTGCGTTGGATTTTATTTTCTTTTGTCGGTTTGAGTGTTCGGGCACGTAAGGCCACGTGTCTGAGGCCCAACGCGCCCATTCCGTTTTTCGGAATTCAACGTGACACTTCAGGTTTTGCGTTAAACGAGATTCAGTGGGGCACCCGGGCCCGTTAAATGGTGTTCAACGACTTTGAATTTCGTCCGTTCTCCGTTGATCGGACACACAGGTGGTCGAGAAAGAGTTGGAAGTCGATAGCAACAATTAGAACTCTTGTAAAGATATTCCGCTTATTAAACGACAATTGATATGATGTATCTTAGAACGTCGTTGTCTTTGATGAATTTGATTGACTTAGAAACTTTCTTTTGAAAATATTTCATTCATTAATGATTATATTTTGTAAATCCTGACATTATTCAACTGTCTTTTCCACAACGATATTGCTTTTTTTTATCGTTGCGAGTTTGAGTTGTCTTTGGCATGCTCACTACCAGTCTGGCGTCACATGCTGACTTTAGAATCTCCGTCATGTCCCAGTCGTCTCTCATATGGCGGAGCAAGTGTGCACTGTGTTCCTTGTTTCAAATTGTGTTCAGGTCAACCAAAAATGTACATATGATTGATATCAGATAAGATCAGTAACTGTAGTGCGAAATGATAAATCGGTGTGTGGATGCAAGACAAATCTCGACGAGTATATGAGTGTGTGGTTCATTATGCAAAGACCACTAACATGACGTCTCTTGCGTGCCCATAGAATGACATGCCTTGTGACCGCCTGCATTACATGTAACCAACAACTTGGCGTCCGTACCCAAACCTTTTGTGCATGGCCAATTGAAGTGCGGATTTGATCGAAAATATGCAAAATTTGAAGTTATTGTGTAATATGAGAAGGGTTGTCGCACAAAACGAACCTGTATCATATCAAAATTAACTGCTTGTTACAAGACAAATGGTGAAGTTCAACATCTTTGAGTTGTACTTCGAGTACTACTGTAACTGTTACATTACTTGAAGTTGATGACACAAACTACATTATAATATATCCAACAAGTTTACAATAACACATTGTTCAAAGCAAACATGTACAACGAGGATACAATCATGACACCTTCCTCATCACAATTGTAAACAAGTATGGATCTCAACACGCTTCCACATAATGTGACAGACGTGACACTCACACACAGACACACATACACACATACATACTGGGGCACACACAAAGACAGACGGACACACACANACACACACACACACACACACACACACACACACACACACACACATACACACACACACATACACACACACACGCACACACACATGCATACTCACACACACGTTGTAGCGGACCTCTGGTTGGCCTGTGAGACCAGACCCTTAACCTATTCTTACAGGTCTGTGTTGTATTCGGGGTAGTCCAGGCCAGGCTGGTACCTCTGTCGGTACCTGCCAGTCCAATCCAGTCCAGCCAGTTCGCTGGGGTGTATCCCAACCAGAGTCTATACTTTAGATCATTCTACATTCGCACAGTTTGGAGTACGTGCGTTGGAGTCTTGAGTGGGAGCTGCACTATGTCATCTTGCTCCACCCTAATCCTCCATCTCTACCTCTATCCCAGGCGGAGCACCACACCTGGTGGGTCCGCCTCATTGGTATCAGAGCGGGATCGATCCTTGATCCCGCCCACCCACCCTGGTGATCCCATTGTCCTATAGCGGACGACATTATACTTTCCCCTTCGGAAACATAATGTAGAAGACCCGACCGCCATCATTACGGGCACTACGGAGCTGCGGCAGGCGAAAAGAAAGCAGCATCTCGTAGGTGCAAAGACGGCCGACTGCCATCATTGCGGGCGGCAGTACCAGCTGCAGACCGTTTTGTTTGTCTGCGTGTGCAAAAAAAGGTCGAAGCACTTTGCGATTTCAAGATCCGGCAGTCTCACTGGCGGTGCTATTATTTTTTGGTAGTGGAAAAGTTTCGCGTGAGGGTAATCACGCATTTTGGGGCGAGCGGGGTTTGAACCCGGGCAGATGGCGGGCGAAAAGGGTACGGGGCAGCGTGATAAGCACTTTGCCAAATGGCGTAGGTGGCCAGAACGGACGGTAGAAAGTATTTCCCCCCCCCGGCAGGGGTAGGATCAGTTTCGGGGGTTGATCTGCGGGTGGTGAGGATTGGAAGTGTCGGCGATTGTCGATTCCCGCCCCCCCCTCCCACGTTTCGACGGAGTTAAAGGCCAGGTTTTGGTGAGGGTAGGATTAGTTGCGAGAAGCTATTCTAGGGTTTTCGATGATATAAGGAAGCAAGCGAACGATTTGCCCCTCCCCCCCCCCACCCACCCACCTACGTTTCGACGGGGTTAGAGGTCGTCTCGAGCCGGGGGTAGGATGAGTTTCTCGGTCCCGACGGTTGTGACGTGGCGGGGATAGGGGTGATGATTCTGGCATCCTGGCCAGGTGGCCAGTCCTCTTCACGGCTAGAAGACCCCCCGATTAGGGGGCTGCTCTACACTGGTGAAGGTCTGCTCACACAGCACACCCTGCACCCGCAGTACTGCTGCTAGGGGTTGATGAAGATCTCAGCCCCCTCCCTCCTCCAGCTGGTTTGCTGCAGTGAAGGCCAAAACCCTCCTGATCTTGGTGTACGTTGTGCCCTTGGAGACACCAAGGGCCAGATATCACCTCCCTCTTCCCTCTGTCTACTAGTCCACTTTCTCTACCTCTTCTCTCTCCTTTTACTTACCCCCTCTACTTCTTCCTCTTCTACCTCACTCACTTCCCTCTAATCACTCTCACTACTCATATCCCTCTCCCCACCTTTCTCAACTTTCTCCTTCTCTCCTTCTCATTTCACTCCTCAACTCCTTCTTTTCCCCCCACCTTCCACTGCCTCTTCATCTTCTTCTTTCCCACCACCCACTATTTTACTCTATTTTATTCATTTATTTTATTTTCTTTCCTCCTCTTTTCTCTTTCGTTCTTGATCTCTCTCCACCATCCCCTTCCTTCTTTCCCCCTTGCTCTTTGTTGGTGTAGTTAGTTCATTTCTTGCTCTCTTTCAAATGTTATCTCTCTCCTTGCTTATCTTGGTGTACATAGTATTGTTCTTCTCTCTTTTTCTCGGCGATGCACTCTTGCTCCTCTATTGTTCTTCTCTCTTTTCTCGACGATGCACTCTTGCTCCTCTACGGAGGCGAAGTGCTGCCGAAAAATTTTGATCCATCTGTAGATTTTTTTCACTCTTTTACTTAGTTTTTCTGGTTCTTACTTAATTCCTATTTTTTTGCAGCACATTTCTGCTCCTCGACGGAGGCGAAGTGCTGCCAAAATTTTCCAAATTTTCTAGGCTTTTATCTTTTCCCTCTCCCATCACCCCTTCTCCCTACTTCCCCTTCCCATTCGGGCACCCTGGACCCGAACCACCCCTCCCCCCTTTAACGGCGCCCGCACTCGATTCGCTAGCGCCGCCTGTCGCTTTCTACCACTGACCCCCCCCTACGCCCTCCGCTCACGCGGACCTCCTCCGGCCCCCTCCAGTTTGGCCCGTCACCTCCCTATGGCCGACGGCGTGTCACAAGCCGCCGACGCGGCGAGGACCTCGGCACCGTGCTCCACACCCGTGACGGCGGACCATGACCATCAGGCCCAGGGGGAACTCACCACTCTCCTCACCTCCCTCCTCGCGCCCATCCAAGTGCAACTGGCGCCGCTGGCATGCGGCAACTCCAAGACGCTATCTGTCCTTCCTCTCCTATCCCTCTCTCTTCTCCTTGCTCCCAGTGCCGGTCCCTAGTCCTCCAACGTGGTAGCCACGGCGGACCTTCGTCCTCTGCTGCATGCGACCCAACCATTTTGGTGACTGTCCACGCTCCTCGTGCAACGACGGCCATGGGCCAGGCCTCTCCTCACTCTACGGGCGCACCCACCCAGACTCTGATCACTATGACCACGGGAGTGACGGGACCACAACCCTCTGCTGTGGTCTCAGCTTTTCCGGCTGCCCCGCTTCTCCCTCCCCTTTGCACGATTGCAGCGACACTTGGCTCTCCCCCTTGTGGAATGCCTCGCACCGCTCATGCGTCTGCTTCCCCCACTCCTCCTCCTACCACTCCTCGCTCGATCTACGTTCGAGGTCTTGAGGCCGAGCTTGCCCAGACTCGGGCCGACCTCACCCTCTTACACCTTCAAGCACCCCTACCCTCACAGGTGGCCGCACCTTCGGGCGCACACCCTTCTTCCTCTACTCTTCCATCCATGCAGGCTCGCTTCCCTCGCCCTGCACCCCCTCCACCCCCATCCTATCTCCTTCCTACTCCATCGGTTGGTGCGACCTCTTCTACCACAACTCCCTCACAATCGGTTGTTGTTCTCCCCGTCGCTCCACCATGCGGCCCGGGCATACAGTGCCTTATGCCCCCTTCTCCAGGACTTGCGCCGACTTACTCGGCGGTAGCGCAGGTCTCTGGTCCTCTATCTCCTCGCCCCCAAAATGGTGGTGCACCGCTCGTTCGCTTGACGGATATCGCCTTGTACGACGGTACAAGGATACACGTGTCTCGGTGGCTGCAATCTGCCACCCGCACGCTCCAGCTCATGGTCGTCCCACCTGACCAGTGGGTGACCCACCTCTCCACGCGCTTGTGTGACGATCCTTTCGACGCCTGGGAGGATTTCTACACTCACTCCCTTCGTGAGGGTCGCACCCCGACCTTCATGGATTTTCAGGCGTTCCTTAAGGATCGCTTCGGAGCCCGACACGACGTGACTGACGCCCTCGACCGTGTCATCATTACACGCTGGTCCGGCTCCGGTGGTGCTATCGGCCAAGACCGCCACATCCAGGTCTTTCAGGCGCCCGCCTCATTTGCGATGTGGCGTTCCTCCCCAAGGCTGCCCTCATCGATCGCTTTTTGGCCAGCCTTCCCCTTGAGTACCGCTTCGAGTTACGGCGGTACGACTTCACATCGGCCCCGCAGGCCTATGAGGCCGTAGGGCCCATCAACGGATGTGGGCCCGTCTTCACCCCGCTTCCTCCTCCCCGCCTCAACGTACTAGTTATGCTCCCTTCTTCTCTCACGACACTTCCCAGCACCGTTCCCCTTTCCATGGCCGTCCCCGTCGTTCCACGTGGCAGGGGCGCCACTTCTCGCCTCACTTCAGCGCGCTCAAGTATGGTGAGTGGGATGTTGTTCCCCTTTCTATGCGAGGTCGTCCACTATCACCTGGAAGACTCTACCCTCCCTATAGCTGAGCGCGTCCAGCTCGGCCTTTCCACCCTCTCTCGGGTGCCCCCTGAGGTCTCTCAGTAGAACCTCCCTCAGCCTCCTCAGGGCTTCGTCCCTCCTCGCGGTGTCCTTTCTCGTGAGGAGTGCGCAACCATTTTGGGCCGGCGTGGGTGTTTGCGTTGCCGCCAGGACGGTCCTTCCTCCTCGAGGTGACCTTACACTACCGCTCTCGACCGCCACTACGTTGAGCTTTCCCGCCAGCGGCGCACTCAGTCCCCCCCGGCGCCTCGGATCCCCGCGGCGCCTCCTAGCCATTGTGAAACGTACACCTGCGCCCCCCTCTGTAGTTGGCTTCCCGACGTCTCTGTCATGGTTTGCCCTCTCGTTACTGGAGTTGAGGTATCGCAGGACCCGACAGAGTGGACTCAGCCCTATTTCGCAGTACCGTTTGCGCTTCCACAGACCACCGTCTCCCCTCCCACCTCTCCGCAATTACCGACGCGTCGAGCCATTCGCTCAGCTCGTTGCAACGAGCAGCTTGCGACTTGCGAGGACGTTGTGTCCTCCCTTCTGGACTAAAGCATAATCCAGGCTCAGCAGGAGCGACTCACCCTCAATGTCGCTGCACTCCGTCGCCTTCTCGCCATACTCGTTGACCATGATCGCACCCTCCCGGTTATTCCAGTACGACTCAGGACCTCCACGACGGTGTACTTAGCGCTGTGGGATTCCGGTTCTCAGGGCGACTTCATTCACTCACTGTGGTGAAGGAAGCACACTTACCCACGACAGGGTCTCCGACTCCCATCTCCGTCACCCTAGGAGATGATAAGACTCAACGCTTCTTCGATTAGACGGTCACCGACATCCCTTTCTTCCTCACCCTCGAGCCGACTGATCGTCCCCTGGCGTCTCATCGCCACCACTCCTCTGCACATTTCGATGTGATAGAAACGGAGTACAATTTCATTCTCGGTACTCCGTGGTCTTGTCGGTTCCGAAGCACCGAGGCCAATTGGGCGACCAACACTCTTGTTCTCAAAACCAAGAGTGGACAGACAAATCACGTACCTTTCATAGGTACCACTGCAACACCACGCCTCGATCCTCCTCCCCCGGAGCTTTCCATGCCCACACCATCTCCTACTATCACTGTCACCTCGCCTCGGCAGTTCGCTCAGGACGACGTCACCTTCTTTATGCTGAACGTTACGGATCTTTTGCACTATCATCCACCTTGTCTCGACGCTGAGCTCATCTCTCTGAAGCCAGATCCTCCTTCTATCTCCATGGCTTCCATCTCTGCCTCCCTGCCTCTGTCGTTCGTCGAGTCTACCCAGTCGTCGTGCGCAGACGCTGATGCTGAGGAACGCACACGTCATACGGCCGACCTGGAGCCCGCAATTTGTGACCTTATTCGAGAGTACCATGACCTTTTCCCATCGTCGTTCTCCTATGCCAACATCCCACCGATGCGCGACGTCGAGCACTCCATCCAGCTTGTGCCCGACTATCGTTTTCACCACCAAGCACCCTACAGACTCTCGATCCCCGAGGCCACCGAACTCAAGCATCAACATGACGAGCTACTAAGACTAGGTTTCCTTAAGCCCAACAACTCCCCGTGGGGTGCACCCTCTTTGCTCGCAAAGTGGATGGAACTCTCCGTCTCTGCATCGATTATCACAGTTTCAACCACTACACGGTTAAGGACAGCTACCCCATGCCTCGTTTCGACGAGTTGTTCGACCGCCTAGCAGACAACCACTTCTTTACGAGGATTGATCTTCGTAGCGGTTATCATCACATCCGCGTCGCTGCAGCGGACCAACTGAAGACAGCGTTCCGATCTCGCTTCAGCCACCATGAGTTTACGGTGATGTCATTTGGGCTCACCCATGCACCCGCTACCTTCCAGACGGCGATGAACGATATTTTCAGGGATATCCTAGAGCAGTATGTTCTCATCTACCTTGAAGATATCCTAATCTACAGTCGTACCCTTGAGGAGCATCTCAGAGACCTCCGCGACGTGCGCGGACATGACTTCTACGCCAAGCTGAGCAAGTGCCACTTTGCCCAACGCAAAGTGAATTTCTTAGGACACTACGTGTCTGACCACAGTCTCCATATGGACGACTCGAAGATCACTGCTATCGCGGACTGGCCTAACCCCAAGTCCGTCAAGCAGCTCCGACGTTTTCTTGGACTTATAAGTTATTACAATAAATTTATCTAAGCATATGCCTCTTACTCGCATGTTCATACCTCTACCCTCCTTCGGTTCTTTTGACACCCCTCCACGAGTATGCCTTTCATGCCCTCAAGAAGGCGGTGACATCTGCACCAGTTCTCCACCTACCCGATTTTGATCGCCATTTTATCCTTACCACCGATGTGTCAGACTTTGCTGCAGGAGCAGTGTTTTCTCATATATTTTCCTCCTCTCATCCTCGCATCCCTCACTTCCCACCTCCTACCCCTACCACTGCTTCCCGCCTGACGCCTACTCCTCGATCTACTGACGATATTGACTATTCTTCTACCATCGCCGAGGACGACACTGTCGAGTCTCGCTCAGGTGATTGTCCGATAGTCGTCGAGATAAACTGCACAGCTGATGAAGGTGAGGTTCTCGCAGTAGTTTATGCCACTCGACACTTGCTTGAAGTTGCTTCACTACCTGCATGGGGCACGATTCACGGTGCGCACAGATAACTCTGTTATCTAACCTTTTCTGACAAAGCCGAAGCTCACTCCTCGACAGGCTCGATGGTGTCACGACTTATCCGAGTTTAGTTTCACCACTGAGCACATCAAGGGTGAGACCGATCGGGTCACAAATGCCTTATCCCGGCGCCCTGACCATGATCTGGAGCAGATCCAACTCGCTGCCATCTCGGTCACCACCGTCCACCACTCAGTGACCGACGAGTTTCGCACTCAGTACCGCCATTGCCCCAGCTATTGCGACATCCATGCGACCCTCCGGAGTGGCAAGACCGCCCCGAACTACTCTCTCGGGGACAACGGTCTTGTATACCGGCACGGTTCACAGGGCGCCAGAGAGCCCTGCATTTGTGTTCCCTCCATCGGACAACTACGTGTCTGGGCAATAACAGAGTACCACGACCAGGCAGTCGTTGGTCATATGGGCTTCCACAAGACGTTGGCTCGTGTGAGCCGCCTGTACGTCTGGACGAAGCGCAAGTACTTTGTGAAGAACTACGTTGCAGAGTGTTCCACCTTTCAGGAGGTGAACAACCTCTTCCTATCCCTGCGGGCCGTTGGCAGTCAAACTCGATGGACTTTATCGGTCCTCTTCGTCCTCCTACCCCCCGCAGTCATGATGCTATCCTCGTCGTCGTCGTCCGCTTCACGAAGCGCGCACATTTTCTTCTGTGCCGCTATACCATCAGTGCACGTGAGGCTGCCGACATCGTGTTTGACCGAGTCGTGCATGACCACAGCCTACCCCTGAGCATCATAGCTGACCGTGATCCAGACTTTACCAGCCGATTCTGGCAACAACTCTATGAGGTGTACGGCACCCAGCTCCGCTTCTCCTCGTCTTGCCATTCCCAGACTGATGGTCAGACCGAGGTCACGAACAAGACTCTCAGAGATATTGTCCGAAAGATTGTTTGTGACGACCAACAATGGGATCTCTGTTTTGCCCACGCGGAGATAGCTTACAATGACCTCGTCTCGCCGTCCATAGGATGTTGCCTTACTATTGCAACCTCGGTTATCACCCTCGTGTTCCCGCGGACTTCCTTCGACCGTCACAGATGCACCTCGACACGAGTTGTCCCGCGCTGGATGATTAGGTTGCACACATGACGTCGATCATGCAGACCCCACATGAGCACATAGCTGATTCCCAGACTCACATGGCCGCACGTGCGAACTGATCGTCGTTGATGATATGCTTGTCGACGCCTGCCACTTATAGCTCGAAGCGGACATGCTTTGCAAGTTCCGACGTCGCTTCTTTGGCTCATGCCGCATTCTCCAGGTCGATGGTTTTGATACGGCATTTAGCCCGGTCAACTTTCATGTGAAGCTGCCCGACTGCCTACGTCCGGCTCGTGTGCACGATGTCTACCACGTCTCGTTACTGTGTCCCTACCGCAGATTGTCTGAGCGTTTCGCTGGACGACCATGCGAGCGCTCTCCACCCATAATGATAGACGACCAGGAGGAATTCCTCGTTTCAGACATTATTGGTCGTCGAGTCACCGACGACAACCCTCCTCACGTCGAGTATCTCGTACGTTGGAAGGGTTACCCTGATGAGGAGGCTACTTGGGAGCCGCTCAAGCACTTGCTGCACGCTCGCATGTTGGTGCGTGCCTATGATCGTGCTTGTAGTGTTGGGTTGACTGCTCCTCCTCAGCCCACTGACCGTCTCCCTTCTCCCCCGGCTGAGGAGACCGCAGAAGTCGAGCCTTCTCCATCCAAGGCAGACCTTCAGCGGAAGCCGGATGCTTTCGAGCGTCCACAACGCACTCATCATCGTCCTCCTTGATATGCCGATTGACTCTTACTACTCTTCCCACGTCTCTAACTTCTAAGTACTCCATCCACACCAGTTTTGTTACTTCAACTCGTCGACGTTGCGGTTCTTCCTCAATGACATTCATGACTCCTCATCATTAACGTCATCGGTAGCTTCACGTACTTCATCACGATCAGGTCTGCCTACTTCAGACGCCGCCACTCTCTTACCACTTTACCCTGTACAGTACCCTGGTTGTGTCGCCTGATGGTCTCCCTTAGTCGGGTTCCTCTGAGTTGGGTTCTCCCTTGGTATACGCATATGCATCGGGACCGTAGCGTTGCCCTGGTGTCCCAGCTTACGGATCTAGCTCCAACTTCCCTGACTTTAGGAGTCATTTGCATGATTCCCTTACGCATCACTTTTTCTACCCTCTGTCGGCCCTCACTCCCTAGTTAGGTAGCATTGCATGCTTCATCTAGGTGCGCCCAGTATACCAGGCTCCCTTATTCCCTTGCATGGTCGACCTTACATAGTGGTCACCCCTTTAGTCGAGCATTACCCGCCCTGATGGTCTATTTGTTCGGGTCATCGTTTTTGTTCGCTCCCAGTTCCCTACCCTCATTGAGCCTGATGACATGTGTCTCCATGTTATTATGTGTGGATGCCCTTAGGAGTTTATCGACCCCTAGGCTGCATTTGCCACCCTCAGAGACCATCCCACCCTGTGGTTTGCGACACACCCTTCCTGTGACATACGGTTGTCTTGTTATTGTTTTGTTGCTCTCAGCTTAAGACCTATGCCTCTGACATTTCTAGGATTTAGTTGTCTTTGCTTTGACTATTCTTAGGACTTGTACACTAGTCAGTGGTTTCCAGACTGAGGTTACTGCCTCCAACATTCTAGGATTTAGTTGTCCTTACTTTCTGCTTTCATAGGACATGTATACTAGTTAGTTGTTTTCTGCTTTCACTTAGGCTGTTAGTTGTGACATTGTTGTTTTTGCGACATTTTCTAGCCTAGGTTGTATCGCATGGACTCATCATGGAGCTTGCGCCGCATCTTAGACTACTCCGTTTTTCTTTTTCTTTGGTAGAGTTCACTTTTTGGTGGAAGTGTGGTTGTATCTAGGCGATCCATCACAGACCGAGGATCATGTAGCGAACCTCTGGTTGGTCTGTGAGACCAGTCCTTTGGCCTGTCCTCACAGGCCTGTGTTGTATTCAGGGTAGTTTAGTCCAGGCCGGTAATTCTGTCGGTACCAGCCAGTCTAGTCCAGTTCCAGTCAGTCCGTTGAGGTATACCCCAACCAAGGTCTGTACTTTGGATCATTCTACATTCGCACAGTTTGGAGTACATGCGTTGGAGTCTTGCATGGGAGCTGCGCTATGTCATCTTCCTCCACCCTCCTCCATCTCTACCTCTATCCCAAGCAGAGCACCACACCTGGTGGGTCCACCACACGCGTGATACTCACACACACACACACACACGCACACGTGCATGGGCACGCAGACACACACACGTGATACACACACGCATACGCACATACACACATGTGATACACACACGAATACACGCATGCACATGCATATTGTATACTACTCTACTCTCCGACAGTGTACTCTACTGTACGACACCCTCCTCTAGTATACTCTGCTCTATGACACTTTTTCACGATCTACTCTACTCTACTCTATGATACTTTACTCTACTCTACCCACTCTACTCTACTTTACTACACTCTACTCTACTCTACTCTACAACACTCTACTCTACAACACTCTACTTTACCCACTCTACTCTACTTTACTACACTCTACTCTACTCTACAACACTCTACTCTACTCTACGACACTCTACCACATGCTACATCACTCTACGACACTTTACGACACGACACTCTATGACACTCGACTCAACTCTACTCTACTTTACTTTACGACACTCTACTCTACTTTATGACACTCTACTCTACTCGACGACACTCTACTCTACGACACTTTACTCTACTTTCCTCTACGACACTCTACTCTATGATATTGTACTCTACTCTACAACAATCTACTCTACTATACTCTACGACACTTTATGACACTCTACTCTACTCTACTTTACTCTACTCTACTCTACTCTACTCTACTCTACTCTACTCTACTCTACTCTACCACTGTAGTTTGCTCTACTCTACTCTACTCTACTCTACTCTGCTCTACTCTAGTCTACTCTTCTCTACTCAAATCTACTCTACTCTATGATACTCTACGTCACTTTACAACACTCTACTCTACTCTACGACACTTTACTTTACGATGTTATATGGCACTCTATTCCACTCTACTCTACTCTACTTTACTCTACTTGACTCTACGCCACTCTACTCCACTCTATCCACTCTACTCTACTCTACTTTACTCTACGACACTCTACGACACTCTACTCTACGACACTCTACTATACGACACTCTACTCTACTCTACTTTACTCTACTCTACAACACTTTATTCTACGACACTCTATGAGTCTATGACACTCTACTCTACTCTACTTTACTCTACGACGCTCTAGTCTACTGTACGACACTCTACTCTACTCTACGGCGCTCTACTCTACTCTACAGCACTTTATTGTACTCTAGAACACTATAGGACACTCTACTCTATTGTACCACACTCTATTGTACTCTACGACATTATGCAACACTCTACTCTACTCTACGACACTGTACTCTACTCTACTCTATGACATTCTACCCTATGACATTCTACTCTACTCTACGCATTCTACTCTACTCTACGACACTCTAGGACACTGTACTCTATTCTACAACACTGTACTGTACTCCACTCTACTCCACTCTACAACACTCGATAACATTCTGCTCTACTCTATGACACTCTACGACACTCTACTCTACTCTATGACAGTCTACTCTACGACATTTTACTCTACTCTACGAGACACTCTACTCTACTCTACAACACTGTAGTCGACTACACTCTACGACACTCTACGACACTCAATAACACTCTCCTCTCCTCTACGCTAACCACTCTACTCTATGACACTCTCCAATACTCTACTCTACGATACTCTACTATACTTTACTCTACTATGCGACACTCAACTCTACTCTACGACACTTTACTTTACCCTATGACACTCTACTCTACTCTACGACACTCTACTCTATGCTATTCTACTCTTCTATACTACACTTTACTCTACTCTGCGACACTCGACTGAGTCTACTGTACGATACTCTATGACTACTCTACTATACTCTACGACACTCTAAAACACTCTACGACACTCTTCTGTACTCTATAACACTGTACGACACCCTACAATACTATACAAAACTCTACTCTACTACACTCTACAACATTTTACTCTACTCTAGGACACTCTACTCTACTATACTCTACTCTACGACACCAGTATAGTCATCTCGTACGGAGACGACCTGTCCGTACTCCCATACGACCGTATGTACGGGCCGTACGCAGGGACTCTGGCCCTCCGTACGTGGCCTTTCGGGGGGTGGGTTGGGAGGGTCGATCAGTTTGGGGGGGGTACGGGTGTCGGGGGGTAACCTCCCCTTAAAAGGGAAAAACAAAAATAAAACATTTTTTTTTGGGTCCGGTTGGGGGGGGTACGGGTGTCGGGGGTACGGGTGTCGGGGGTACGGGTGTCGGGGGTACGGGTGTCGGGGGTACTCTACGCCACTCCACTCCACTCCACTTTACTACACTCTACTCTACTTTACTACACTCTACTCTACTACACTCTACTCTACTCTACAACACTCGACTCGACTCTACTTTACTGTACTCTACTCAACTCTAAGACAATTTACTCTATGATACTCCACTCCATGACACTCTACTCTCCTGTACGACACTGTACTGTAATCTACTTGACAACACTCCACAACACTCTACTCAACTCTATGACACTCTACTGTACTGTACTCTACTCCACTTTGCTCTACTCTACTCTTATTTACTCTATGACAATCTACTCTACAACAGTCTCCTTTCGTCTACGACATTGTACTATACTCTACTCTACGACTCTCTACTGTACTATATGACACTCTACTCTACTCTATGAAACTGTACTCTAGTCCTCTCTACCCTACTCTACTCTACTTTACTCTACTCTACTTTATTCTACTCTACTCTCCTCTACTCCACTCCACTCTACTCAACGACACTCGACGACACTCTACTCTACTCTACTTTACTCTACTCTACTCTACTCTACTCTACTTTACTCTACTCTACTCTACTCTACTCTACTCTACTCTACTCTACGACACTCTACTCTACGACACTCTACGACACTCTACAACACTCTACTCTACTGTACAACACTACTTCATGACGCTCTACTTTACGACACTTTACTCTAGTCTACAACACTCTACTCTACAACATTCTACAACACTCTACAACACTCTACAACACTCTACTCTACAACACTCTACAACACTCTACTCTACAAGAATTTACTCTAGGACACTGTACTCTACGATACTCTACTCTATTATCTGACACTTTACTCTACGATACTCTACGATACTCTACGACACTCTACTCTACTCTATGACATTCTAAGACACTCTACTATACTTAACGGCATTGTATACTACTCCACTCTACCACACTCTACGACAATGTACTTTACGATAATCTATGATACTCTACTCTACTTTACTCTACTCTATGACACTCTACTCTATGGTACTCTATGACACTCTACTCTCGGACACTTTTCTCTACTCTATGACACTCTACTCTACGATACTCGATGACCCTCTACTCTTCTCTGGTCTACGACACTCTACTCTACTTTACTGTACTCTACATTTCTCTACTTTATTGTACGACAATCTACTCTACTCTACTTTACTTTACTATACTTTTCTCTACTCTATTGTACTGTACGACAGTTTACTCTACGATACTTTACTTTACTCTACGAAACTTTAGTGTCCTCTACGACAATCTACTGTAATCTACTCGACGACACTCTACGATACTTTACTCCACTTTGTGGCACTATACTATACTCTACTTTACTTTAGTTTATTCTACTCTACGATAATCTTCTCTACGATACTCTACTTTACAACACTTTACTCTCCTCTACGACACTTTGCTCTCCTCTAGGACACTGTAGTAGTACTTTACTCTACGACACTTTACGACACTCTATGACACTCTATGACACTCTATAACATTCTATGACATTCTATAACACTATTGTAATCTACACTCTACTCTACTCTTTTCTCCTCTACTCTACTCTACTCTACTCTGCTCTACTTCACTCTACTTCACTCTACTCTATAACACACTACTCGAATCTGCTCTTCTCTACTCTATGACAGTCTCTACAACACTCTACTCTACGCCACTGTTCTTTACTCTACGATACTTTATGATACTATACTCTATGACACTCCACTCTATTCTGCGGCACTCTACGACACTCTCCTCTACTTTATGGTACTTCCTTTACCGTGTCAGTAGTTTTGGTTGGGGGTGTAACTCGCACCGCCCACACCGCAGACACTAAGCTATTTGTCAATCAAACTCATACTTCATAGCCAGTTTTGGGCTATTCTTTATTACCTAGTGATTCGTTTTTTGTTTTTTAAGTCTGTCTCAATTTATGTGAGCGGTCCGTGTTAGGGTGCCTACAACATTTCTTATTTCTGCGGGCATGACCCACACCGCCTGCATCGCGGGTGGTTAGCTAGTTATTATTGTACATAATATCTAGGTTACCAATGGTCCGGAGACCGGACGTCTCCTCTGAACGTTCATGGTCCGGGCCGTCCGGGTGTCCGGACGACGATTTTTTGGGTAAAAAAGAGTCAAAAAAAAAAAAAAAGATTCTCTTGCGCTGGTTTAGGGGCCCCCCAACACCAAATTCCACATGAAACAAAGCACTTTTGTGAAATAATTAGTAGTCGGGGGTGGGGGGTGGGGGGTTAGGGGGTGACAAACAACTTGCCTGCTATGTTTGTTGCTGCTTGCTGCATCTGCAGCACCTGCGCCATGTGCAGCAGTTCCTTAAGGTGCAAGAAGTTATGCATGTGAAGCACCTGCTGCGTCTACAAGAACTGCTGCATTTCGAGGTACGGACTGATTCTTTGGCACCTCGTGAGGGTGCTAAATCCTTTGAAGGTCTTTCACATGGCCAAACAAATAGTATTAGGGGGGGGAGGGGTGGTTGGTGGGAGGGTTTGCTGGTTTAGGTAGGTGAAGGTGTGAAACATAGCATACCTGTTGCCTGCAACTCCACCACCTGTTGCATGTAATCTTTGCACAAACATACAACAGGTGACGTACATGCAGATGTACCTTCTACTTGCAATGACTACCACCTGCTTTAGGTTATCTCATACAGACACAAAACGAGAGTCAGCCACACACACACACACATACTGCCGACCAACGGGTCACACACAAACACACACGCATACACACACATGCACAGATGGGGGGAGTTGGGCGGAGGCGGAGGATTTGGCGGGCGGAGGCAGGCGGAGGAGGTGGCAGGCGGAGGGGGGCGGAGGAGGTGGCGGGTGGAGGGGCGCGGAGGAGGTGGTGGGCGGAAGAAGAAGAAAAAAAAGAAGAAGAAGAAGAAAAAGAAGAAGAAAAAGAAGAAAAAGAAGAAGAACAACAAGAAAAAGAAGAAGAAAAAGAAGAAAAAGAAGAAGAACAACAAGAAAAAGAAAAAGAAGTACATTGCTTGCTTGCTTGCTTGCTTGCTTGCTTGATTGATTGATTGATTGACTGGAGGCGGTGATGGCGGAGGAAGCCGGTAGTACGCCTCATTCAATCAATCAATCAATCAATCAATCAATCAATCAATCAATCAATCAATCAATCAATCCGTCGAGATTGACGGATTGATCGACGGATTGATTGATTGATCGATTGATTGATTGATTGATTGATTGATTGATTGATTGATTGATTGATTGAAGGCGGG